AACATTGGAAGATTTTCCAGTGGATGCTCAACCTGTTTTAGACTATTTTGAGGACAATTAAATCGGAAGACCTAATCGGCGTCAACAACGCAGATCTCCAAGTTTTTCATACGACCAGTGTAACTGTGTCAATGCTGCTCTCAACGGCTTGCCAAAAACCAACAGTTCCTGCAAAGGGTGGCACATAGACTTTAGTGAGCTAATTGGAACTAGCCATCTAACAATATGGAAATTCATTTCATTCTGGAAAGACGAACAAGTTTTAATATAAGAAAAAAAAAGTATGTACAGTTTGTTGTTGGTGCCAAACCGCCTCCAAGCAAAAAAGTTTATCGAGACACGGCAGTTCGAATTCAACGTATAGTGCCAGATTACAATAACCGCAATAGAGTGAATTATCTTCGTGGATTGGCCCATAATATTAACTTCTAGGTGCATTGATTAGTCGTTCTCTTGACATACTTTTGCGTAATAATCGCATTTTTTCACAATAGTTGCAAATTAAACTCATTTTTGAGTTGTTTTAAATTTCATTACAAAAAAGGTGAAGGATAGAAAAGTCCTCAACAGTGGCGTTTCTTGGGCTTTTGAAGCCCGGAGCGGAAATATTTGTGAGAGCGTTATATTATATACATATATATACTATGTTTTTATAACGTACAACATTCATGGGGTGTGTAATTGCAAAAACTGTAACTTCAAATTAGCCTCACGATGAATTTTAGCCCACTATGAGTTTTCTCCCACGATAAATTTCTTCCCACAATGAATTTTCTCTCGATGAATTTTCCCACGATGAATTATCCCACGATGAATTTCCTACAATGAATTTTCCGCACAAGAGCTTGTGGTGTGGATAGTAACGTTTTTCTGGCTCAATAGTTCTAACTTAAGTACAGAATAGTGTGTAAAGCAGTTCTGCTTGTGACATATCAGCATTATAAACAATAAATAATAGTATTATATAGTATAATATTCTTCTAGTAACACCATAACTGAATAAGTTTTTGATTGGCAAATTGAATTTAATAAGCAAAAACCTGTCGTGTTTTTGTTCAAGTCATCTGAACCAAAAGATAAGATTAAAAAAAAAATAAAATAATATAATCATAATACATAATCACTTATAAAAAAGATAATAAGTAGACGGTCAGTAAAAAATTTCGATAAACTTATTAATCTTAAAAATTTCAAATAGTTTAAAATTTAGATTCGATTGTGTAACCTGTTGTTCCATTTTTCAGTGGAACTGTGTTGAATTGTTATGAACATTGAACATGAAGTCATAGATGAACACAAAATTTATTATAATAGTGTTATAAATACAGCGCTCCATAATTATGACAATAATTATCTATGGTACGCCGTATTGTAAAATGTCGATGCATTGTAAAAGAAAGCGAGATATAAATAGACCAACAACAAGAACGATAGAGAGCGACAAGAGAAAGAAGAAAAGGAAGAAAGAACAAAGAATAACACGAATAATACAATTGACGTAAATGTGATTAATGTGATTTTATGTAGTTATTAGGATTAAGTTAATGTTTCTATTCCTGCTGGTATTAAATAAACGTTTGACGTAGTTGCGTTTAAAGTTGTTGTGTTCTTCTATCGGAGATCTTGAACCTACGGAGAAACGAACTCTTGACTATCGTTGGAAGCTACAACACGGTGTTGGTGATATAACGAGTACGGAAGCTATAACATCGGTGTTGGTAGTTACAAGGTCGAAGAGGTTACGACACTGGTGTTAGAAGTGGGATCTTCAGGAGATTACACACTGGTGACAGAGGCAAAATTCCGATAGCTGGAAGCTTACTGCAGTAAAGAATACCAAGACTAGAGAAATCAATGTAATTAGTCGGACAAGAGAAACTTAACTACTGACGAATAGTTGTAGTCCGTGATTTACCTGTCGATTAGTTATTGTGCTGTATTCGAACGGTTTAACGATCGAACAAACGAGTGATCGATTACGGCAATACACACAAGTGATTGCCAGCACTGTTGTCATTCTGATAAAGTCATCTGGAAGCAAGTCTGCTTAGAAATCAAGAATCCACGTAAAGAGAAATAACCTTACCCTGCCGGTTATAACAATAGTTTACAAAATCATTTTGAAACACCATATGTTCTCAGTTGGAATAAATTTCATGCTTCGTGCCTCGTGTTTTAGGGACAGCTTAAAAGTTTCAATTTAAGTATAGAAAAGCATGTAATGAAGTTCTGTTTGTGACATATCTGCTTTATAAAAACTGAGAAATAGCATTCTCAGAGTAATAACATTACTGAGTTTATTTTTAGAATGCATATAAACTTTGAAAAGGAGAAACATGATGTGTTTTTGTTCAAGTCATCTGAATCAATAGATATGATATTGGACTTTAGATTCACAATTGAATGACAATGAAATGAAATTAGTATGAAGTTTTACTCATAAAAAAATAATTGCAAGGACACTGAAGTTCTATGATGAACTTATGAATCTGAAAAGTTTCAAGAAGTTTAAAATCTATAATCAATTTTGTGACCGGTTGTTTAATTTTTCAGTAAAACTGTGTTGAAGTAATATGAACATGATTTTAGAGTTAAAAATAGAAAGTTATTATAGAAGCTCATACAATAAATTTTAGTTAACTAGTTTGCTCAGTGCTATAGCTCTTTACATATAATGCATATAAGCATCGTGTTGTGGGAATATAACAGCGTTAAAAAACAAAAGTTCAAATTTAAATATGGAAAAGCACGTAAAGCTGCTCTGTATGTGAAAAATCTGCCTTATAGAAAGTAAATGATAAAATTTTTAAAAAAGGCCATTAATGAAACTAATAATAGAATGCAAATAAACTTAAAAAAAACATGTCAAGTCATCTGAACCAATAGATATATGTATGAAAGTTAGATTCCCAATGAAAGATAAAGAAATATAAATACTGTGAAGTTTTACTAAGAAAAATTTAAAATGTTCAAGGTTTTTTTATACTATAAATCAATTTTACATAAAAAATTTCAATTGGTTTGAAATATAGAATTGATTGAATAACCTGTTGTTTCATTTTTTAGGGGAACTGTGTTGAATTATTATCAACATGAACTCATAATTAAACATAAAATTTATTATACTAACTTATAAAATCATTTTTAAACACAAAGTGTGCTCAGTTGGATTACATTCCATGATTCTTGCTGCT